TCTTTTTAATTTTGCTTTTAATTTTTAGCAAAGCATGGGACTATGCATACAGCGTGGAGAGGAGGCCACCCCGCCTGTGGCTTCACCAACCTGCGAACCCCTTCCCCCTCCCCCTTGGCGCGATGTGTGCATTGTTGGAATCGTGCTTGGTGGCGTGTTTTTTGAGTCTAATGAGCTGCCTGCCTGTGATCAGGACTGTATCAACTGTTGTCATTCTAAATGTTTCCTTTCTTTTTTTCAAACACATTTGCCTGATTGACCTTTTTGTTTTTTTTTTTCTCTGTCTTTCTATGGGGCTGCTCCAGGAGCCATGGCCAATCATCTTATAAGCAATGCCCTGCTCCGTCCGCAAGGCACTCACAATCCCTATAACACATTGCTGGGGGAACCGGCGGTCTGTAACAACCCTACCGTCAGCATGTACAACGCCCAAGGTGTGCTGGAGTTTCTCTTAAGTTTTTCAAGTGAGAGTCCCATTTTGTGTAGCTTTCACGGGCACATGCTACTTGCTTTCTCCTGCCTTTCTTTGTTTTGCAAACAGACACACAGACTCTCTGCTCTTTCTGCCCTCTGGTGCTTCCTTCCTCATCTCCCTTAGGTTCCCCTCAGGGGGACACGAAGGAACAAATGTTTGCTTCACCAATATGTGCTTGTTTCTCTGTAATGTTATAAAATGTCTTGTGCCTTGTCGGTGCTTTGATTGTTATTTGCTTATTTCTGTATTAAATGCTCGTGTATTTATGCCGAGACATGAGATGTTTGCCTAAGGTAAGTCGAGCTACAGGAAGACTTGATGTAGTCGTTTTAATGGTACCAAAGCACAAGAAAATGAATCTCACTTTTTTATGCCATGAAGTAGACTCTGGGCATAAAACATTAGCAGTAATGAAAGCATTTAGAGCAAATTTAGGGAAAATTACTCGGCTGTACACAGGAGGGAAGAGCCGTGAGCGGAGAGACCACTGCTCAGATTCTTCTTTGCTTCTGGCGTGGCACACACAGGTTGCAAACTCGCCTTGTTAACTGCGGCTTCTTCTGTCTATTAAAAATAAGGCTTTTGAATATGGTGTCTCTGCATATTCTCTAGCTTAAAAATAATACGAAAATTTATTTCTACGTCAACCACAGAAGCGCAGATCTCTTTAAAACCTCATGTACTATAAGTATTTGGACGTGATTTTGCCTTTTCCCAGCATAAAACTGTGTTAGGGGCATGAAACATTTAAGCTATTCACATCATAGGTAAAGTGACCACAGGAAAAAATTATTCAAATAAAAGTTTCACGAAGGAAAAGTCCTGGTCAGGGATCCACTCACTTAAAATTATATTTGGAAGAAAATTTCACTGTAACAAGGAGACTTCCATGGTTCCTTCAAGTTGAATGTGATTGATTTGCAATATTGGAAATTTTCAGGAAATTTTGAATAAAATTTCTGTTAACCTTGTGGGAATCTTTGGGTTTGTTTCTTTCTTTCCCCTTGTCAGTCAGACGTAAACGCTTAGTGGTGTGCGAATGCGTAAAACTTTGTACAAATGCGCCATTTCACAACAGGACGTGTTTGTTCCAACGTGGCCGTTGGGTCCCTAAAACCATCTGATCTTCCCCAGGGAGCAGTTTGCTGCACACCAAGGATGATATGAAACTAGTCCAAAGACACCGAAGTCAGCAATGCAAAGGTGACTTCATGATTATAGTCAAGATGTTTGTCAATTCAATGAAATAGCTAACTTGCAATTTCATTCAATTTTTGAAGGGCTGTGTCTCCAAGAGTCATAGACTTTTAGAATCAGAAGGAGGCACAGACCTCGTAGATCCTCTCGGCGTCACTGCTGACTTCTGTCAGCCTGTGCTTAACTATTTCCTTGACTCCTACCTCAGGGTGTGGGGTGTTTATTTTTTGCTGTTATTTTTTGTTTTTTGATTTCTTCTTCCCCACTGAGCTAAAATTTTTTTCTGGCCATGATGCTCAGGTTTACTACCTAGAGCAGAGAAGAGGATCGCTCTCTCTGTCAATCCTTTAAACACTAGACAGCAGCTAACCTGTCTTTTTTTAATCTTCAGTTTTTCCAGCAAAACAAAACTATTAATAAGAGACAGTTTCCGAAACTATTAATAAGAGACAGTTTCCGGGACCTTCATCATGGTTACACTCTGGGAATTGTCTCTCACACAGAGTTAGTTAAGGAAACCTTATAAAAGGTCATTTTGTTCTGTTCTTTATTTTCCTTAAGCCGAGTGACATGTAACTATGTCATTATAAACATTTTAAAATGTGCTGGCATCTTGGGAAATTTTGAATGGTGTTGAAGGAAGATTTTCACCCTATCTGCACGTGAAATGCATTGTACGTTATTGACCTGGCATACGAGAGATCTGGTAATTATGTTCCAACAAATGATAAATTTGGATCTCATTTTGTTTAGCTTTTGGCTTATTCAGATGTAATTTCTAACTTCTTAATTTATATAATGAAAAAGTGACGATTGTTAATCTGTGTGTTTCTCCTAATTCAACATCTGTCCTTCTACTGTACTTTATTTTTACTGGTCACCTAAAACAAGGGATGGAACACTTCTGTGACAACTATCAAGTTGAAATTCTCACATGTAAAGTTTAAAATAAGACCCTGTCGATAGAAAGTTCCGCTTCTGGGGACTTCGTGACTGGTGCTTGCTACTGAGATTATCAACAATGGCACAAAGGATTCTTCAGAATGATTTGCCTTTTATAGTATAGTTAATTCTACTGACTTTTCTTAAAAGCAAAAGTAAAGAATATTATTCATGTTTTTTGGGAGTTAGAAATGGAATTGTACACTATTTCACATTTTAATGTTCTTTAAGATGTTAAGAAACTATAGTAGTGCTTAAAATACCTCTCTTTTGCCACTGACCGAAAATAAACCCTGGCGATTGTCATATTGCTACTAACCTTATGCTTTCAGATGAATGCACTTATGTTCTAAGTGGCGAGGTGAAATCTTACATGAAATTTAGGTGGCTCGGTATGTACTGGAGTGGCCTGTGTTGAATGACCACTTGGATCCCCAATTGGATCCCCAATTCACCTGCACCAGTGCTAGCCAGAGATAAAAGCATTCCAATTCAAAGTATCCATTCCCATGGGCAATGCCTTTATTTAAAATATGGAAAGATGTATTTATAGTGTCACTGAAGCATAAAGAGTCAGGAATAAAGATGAATAATATACTTTTATTACGTTACATTCAGATTCTATCTCTGGAAATATTTAAAATTTCATGCATTTATTTCTAGATCATCATCCTCTTGTCAGTATTAGAAATTTCATTTTTGTGAAGATGAAGCTCATTACAAGGAAATAAAAAACCCGTCAACAAAACGTACGAAGAGGATGACATGATTTCACCAATTTAATGTACATTTTAAGCTAACTTAACTCATTTCTGCAACTTCAAAGAAAGATACGTATTTATAGGATGGGATATGGTGGAGAATGCATTATAGTTGGCAAGATTAGAAGATTATTTTACAAAGGCTATAATTAAGTGATTATTTGATGACTTTCAATGCCTAAGGCAGATGTGAAGTAAAGGAAGTTGCCACAGACGGATCTGAAAGACCCCCCCTGCTGACCCCTGTTCTGCGGTGTTAGCAGGTGCCGGGAGATGAGATGTCAGAGGTGCCCGCTCTTGGCTGCTGTGTCTCCGCTCTGGAAAGCAGGAATTGGACTTCAGCGATCTCTCATCTGCTTTCTGGTTCTAAAATTCTCTCATTAACA